CAAAGAGAGATAATTTTTGGTGAAGATTTTCCTACATTGCTACCTCTCTTAAATGCATTTACAGCTATTTATAAGTTTGATAAAGGAATTAGGCTTCTAAAGATGGATCCTTGATATTGATATCTATTAAGATACTCCAAAATCCGAAAATTGATATTTTTTCAAAATTTTTACTGATCTGACCAGTGGATCCCCTTAAAGAGCACTTGACAATCACACACAGCACCATGCTTGAATCAGAACCGCTTCAAAAGTGTGTAAATCATTCAAGGCGTAAGACTAAACTCTTCTCGTTTAATTTTTTTTTTAAAGCGCCATACATTATTATAATTTTAACAAATAAAGCTATGGGAACTGAAACTTTTCAAGTTATTCAGTATTTTATGTACTTGGGGATTCTCAATTAAAAAATACACTGAGGTGCAAAGTTCAAGACTATTCACTTCAAATGTTATGATAAGTTCAAAATCCTAAACCCAAGAATCATTGCTATCATACTATGACAGGAACAATTAAGCTCTTTGTAGACTAAAATTTAGAATAGAAAAAAAAAGCCCATGCAACTTAATTCCAAATGTAAAATGTTCTATGTCTCCATTGACACAATCTAGACCATTAGAAGGTGGGAAGTTCCACTCCAGACAAATGGAGAGACTGAACAAAAACCCTCCCCACTTGGTATTTCAACTATGTCTTGTATGTGCAATGGTTTAGAGCCTAACCACCACACCACACATAATGGGAAAAAAGCCCATCATGCTGTACACAATTTTTTAACTGGGCAAAACCAGCTTCCTACTGCCTAGTTAGTAGTCAGATATCACATTGTCACAAAAGTTGTTTCAGCCCAAACGATCATGTCTAATCCAAGCGAAACAGATTGTTGCCAGTTTCATCCCAACTATCAACTATTGGGAACAGTCTAAGAATATAGAAGTCTTGAATTTGTGCTGGACAGTACAATGCAGGACGATGGTTGTCAAAGACCAATAAAGACAATTTCTCTGTTTAAGTTTAACAAACACATAGTGATTTGCTCACCTCTGAGTACTTTTATCTGTTCCATACAAAATGTAAAACATCTAGCTTCTAAAATATCACAAAAGTAAAATATGAGAAAAGAAGGGTCAAAGTAGAGACACTAAGATAAAATTTAACTGGTGAAGAAAAAAAAAGCGCCATCATTTGAGTTTAATTTGTTGAATCACAATTCAGAACTGCTGTCAATATTTGTGAAGCGTGAACATTTCAGTGGAGGTCAGAAAAGTAATAGTAGGTTACTAGTTTTAGTTGATCATAAAAAGAAAACAAAAAATAAATGCCTGTTGGCATTGGGCGACTATTCCTCCCTTTTCACAGTCATTGACAACGTTGCCCCAACTTGAAATTTAAATTCGTTTTTGGATCAGTAGACAGAGACCCTGATTACCTATTATGCTTCACTGAAGTATTCAATCTTTCTCTCTAAATATATATATATATGAAGAGAAACATTATAAATAATTCTGTCATTGTCACTGGAAAGCACTGAGACAGAGCTAGCAAACCATCTTTGACAAGAACAATATTATTACAGACCTGCCAACAACTCCATAGACCAGATAAAAAAACTTTTTCTCAGAACCCCCCCTCACCCAAAGGTAGGAATTTGGGGAAAAAATTAGTCCCCATAACCCCATTGGGTTAAGATTGTATAACAATCCTCCCATGGCAAATAAACATATTCTGCAAATACACCCACTTAAATGCACAGGCTGCAAATAAAAAAGGTATATCTTCTCATCGTTCACAATAAGTTGCACAATTATTGAAAATACACAATTAAAAATGCATCTTTTCCGAACATTTACAATAAGTTGCAAATGATCCAATAAAAATGGAATTCAATTTTTAAATTCAGATTTCATACAAATCAGATCGTGGTTCTTAAATTAAACAGATGGAAAAAAGGGCAGAGCTCCACTTTTTATTGGAGTACTTGGCAGGTCCGATACTATTCTTTTAAAGTTTTTATTGGAGTATTTGGCAGGTCCGATACTATTCTTTTAAAGCTATCTCTTTGGTTTGATTTCTCCATCTCAAAAGCTAATTATCGTCAGCCGAGAACTCTAACCGTCTGACTCCGGAATTTCCTTGAATTGCGTTTCTCCTAAAAATAGATTGATATGATAAAGGGCTATGTCCTGTTTAAATCCCAATCAATTTTGAAAATTTTGACCAATCAAAAGTCTTGTTTTAAAGAGAAATTCTAACTGTATATTCCGACTGGCTTCCACAACAGAAGAATTCTAACCATCTATTTCGTTAAGGGCGCCCGCCATTGTGGATCACAGTGATCACGCATTGCTCTGAAGGAGGCATTTGATTATGTTTGGATTTTGTCCAAATCAGAAAAGGCTGCTTTTGTTAAAAGGTTGGTCGACTGTGTCGAGTCTGAAGAGAAAAAGGAGGGAGAAAGCAGAAGACCATGGTCCATGAAGTACCATCTGTGGGTGAATAGGGCTACAGTGGAAGTGTGTAAGGCTTTCTTTTTTAGTCCTGGACTCTTCTTCTTTTTTTTTAGTAAGGTTTTACTGCGCTGGCAAATGCATAAGGTCATATGAGCGCCAAGGGGTGGGACATGTTAACAGAAAAGTCTAAAAAGGGAATTAGGCTTACTCTGTTCACCTCTCTTGCCTCGACAACACAAAGTCTGCTTCGACAATCAAGTCACCCCGGAAATAGCAGTTCACAAGAGAGTGACAAAAATACAAAAGAAGTTGAGGAAAATTGACGATATTGAGGATGAGGAAAGAAAAAGCAGCCGTTCTCCTTATGTTGTTCCTGCACAGTATGAGCATGACATTGATAAATCAGCGCATTTACAATTCTACTGTGCATAAAAACATGTTAATATCCCCCCTTTGAGAAAGGCCTAAAGACTACTTTAGTCAGTAACACTGCCCGGGGGG